CCAGGCACTATAGTTGGTAACAGGGATAAAAAGTAAAAATAAAAAGTAGAGCTCTAGGGCTGGGTGTGGTGGCTCATGCCTGTAACCCCAGCACTTTGGGAGGCTGAGGTGGGTGTACTGCTTGAAGCCAGGAGTTAGAGACCAGTCTGGCCAATATGGTGAAACCCTGTCTCTACTAAAAATACAAAATTAGCAGGCATGGTGGCACACACCTGTAATCTCAGCTACTCAGGAGGCTAAGACACGAGAATTGCTTGAACCTGGGAGGCAGAGGTTGCAGTGAGCTGAGGATGCATCACTGCATTCCAGCCTGGGTGACAGAGCAAGATACACTGTCTCGAAAAGAAAAAGAAAAAAAATAGAGAACTAGAGTATAAAAGCCGAGTAAGCAACATTTACAAATAAAAATCTCAATCTACCTGAGCATTTATTTCCATCTAACTCTTTCTGCTTAGCATTATTAAAAGGTTTCTTGGCCAGGCGCAGTGACTCACACCTGTAATCTTACCATTTTGGGATGCTGAGGTGGGCAGACTGCTTAAACCCATGAGTTTGAGACCAGTCTGAGACAATATGATGGAACCCTGTCTCCACAAAAAATACAAACAAGAACTGGTCAGGTGTTGTGGCATGCACCTGTGGTCCTAGTTATTTGGGAGTCTGGGGAGGTTGAGGCTGCAAGTGAGATGTGATTGTGCCACTGCAATCCAGCCTCAGCAGAGAGTGAAATTCTCTCTCCAAAAAAAAGAAGTTTCTCTATCCTACTGCAGAGCTGTTAAGGGCTGAGTGCAAGTGGAGGTAATCCACCATCTGAATGAAATAACAGGAAATGCCTATACAGCTGGCTTTCCCTATCTTTGGATTCAACTGAGTATTGAAAGTTAAAATGGCCAAACATTTTTCCATGTCATTATCCCCTAAAAAATAAGTATATTATTTACAGAGCACTTACACTGTCTTAGGTATTATAAGTAATCTAGAGATCAAAAATAATGAGAGGATATACATAGGCTATGCAAATCTGATGCCACTTTTTATCAATAACTTGAGCATTCTTTGATTTAGGTATCTAGGTATGTCTTGGAACCAATTATCGACAGATACTGATGGGAGACTGAATTAATATTTTTTTTTTTTAGAAATGAGATTTCTTTCACTATGTTGCCCAGGCTAGTCTTGAACTCCTGATGCAATCCTTCCACCTCAGCCTCTGAAGTAGTTGGGATTTTACAGGCATAAGCTACTACATATTTTTAAAAGTCTTTCCTGAGCCACAGAAGACAGCTGCTGAATCGTTAGAGAACAACCCAGAACAAGAAACAAAGCCACCATAAAAATCTGCAAAGAGCCAGAAAGCTACACTCAAGAGAAGCACCGACACTTTAATTCATTAGTTTCTTCGAAGGCATAGTTTCTTTTGGGGTCAGTCTTCCACATCCCAATCCGGACAGTTGGTTTAGAGTCACATGAATATGAGCATATGAATGTGAGTATTCCTTCTGAAAACAAATGCTTTTTGACATTTTATGGAATTCTTTGAGATAAAAGGCAGATGAATGAAGTCAAGGTCCACTCACAGCAGGATGTCCCAACAGGTAGGTCTCAAATGATTAAGAGATATGCCTGGATATTGTACCCCTCAGCCCTCAAAGCAGCTGCAAACCTGGGATGATAGATAACCTCTTTTGTTTCTCCCAATGAGCAGCACTAATCATACTACTTGGTTAAAAATAATCATAATCATGAAAAGGCTGGCAATTCCTGAATAAGGATCTAGTAAGCACAAGAGGACAAAGAAACATGCAGCCCACTTCCACGATCCATCAGTACCGCCTGGGATATTCTGATAAGTTGCAGAAATCCTTTCTGCTCTTAGCAGCTCTAACTTAAAAACTAAGAGGCAAGACTGGATCTAGACTTAAACCTCCAAGAGTCATAAAACAGTAGTACATTCTAGTCACTATTAAAGGTCTGCTGATTTTTGACTGACTCCATTTTCCTATCTCTAAAATGACATGATTTACTCAGATATAAGGCTTAATATTTTAGAAATTTCTATTCAGTTAAAAGTGCATAACTGCAATTGTTTTTAGGACGTAAGTTATGAAAATTATAATTGAGAAATAATTTTATTTACAGTAGCCTCAAAATATGTACCCAACTGAAAATTAACTTGCAAAGAGGTAAGGTTAGCTCCTACTCTTATTTTATTTTCCTACTCTTATTTTAAACAAAGGAAAGAAAAAGGTTAGTAGCTTATCCGTTCTCTACAACCTTGTGTACTTGTATTTGGAGTGCTGGAACTACCAAGTACAACCACTACAGCTTTTAAGGGCTTATAATCAAGAGTATCTGAAATTAAAAAGTGAGTGTGGAGCCCAAATCATTCTTTAGTTAATTTTAGTCATAATAGGGATTTTTTTTTAAAAGATGGAAGCTGATACAAGGCCTGGGATTTTTTTTTTTTTTTTTAGAGACAAGGTCTCATCCAGGCTGGAGTGCAATGGCGCAGTCACAGCTCACTGCAGCCTCAAACTCTTGGGTTCAAGGGATCCTTCTGCCTCAGCATCCCGAGCAACTGGGACTACAGGCGTAGACCACCATGCCTGGCTAATTTGTTTATTATTTGCTTTTTCTTTTTTTATAGAGATGGGGGGGTCTCATCATTTTACCCACGCTGGTCTTGAACTCCTGGCCTCAAGTGCTGGGATTATTACAGGCATGAGCCACTGTACCCAGCCAGGCTTGGAATTTTTACCATTAACTTCAAGTTATTCTATTTCAATCCCAGTTTTCTTATTAAAAAAGGAAAAGGCATAAAAGAGAAAAAAGTTATAAAACACACCTATATATCCCACTATGTTTCTGCTATATCCAGGAGGATAAGAAACCAGATTTATCCGAGAAAACTACTATCCCTGATTAAGTACATTAGAATGAAAGCACTGTAGGGTGAAGACTGCATACACAAAGAACTTTACAGGTGGGTTCTGGACATATTAACACAAAAGCAGAAAGTCTTATTCATAATAGCCACAGATTTTGTTAACTGGTACATTTTTACACAGATTTGGTTCATAACTTTATTTACACCATCAGTGTCTTATCAGTATCTAACATTTTCCCAAGATGATGTCACTAAGGTATTAAAAGGGCCAAAATAAATTTTAATGATTTTTGAGAAACAAACAAAAAAATGGTGGGTGGGGAATAACTTGCATGGATTTAAAGACTATCGTTTTATATTAGGTTTGGCAATATATCTTTAGGCCACAGTTAATCGTCATGTGGAATTTAGAGACACACATTAGCTTTCACGAATGGTATAGAGAGAATGAAATTATTTGATGAATCTGAATCACTGGGACTAGAAACAATTTTATATCAAAGCTGTATAGTTTCAGAGTTTATGGGTAGAAAAGAGGGTTTCAGATTTTTAGTACTTACTGATCATTAGAAAGTATCAAGGTTTTAAATATTCTTCTAACATAGATCATGTTTGAAAAATAATACGACAGTAAGACAAGCTGTAAAAAATCATTTGGTGGAAATTAATTAAAAAGTTTAAAAACTAGGTCGGGTGTGGTGGTTCATGCCTGCAATCCTGCATTTTGGGAGGCCCAGGAGGCGGATCACGAGGTCAGGAGATCGAGACCATCCCGGTCAACATGGTGAAACCCCGTCTCTACTAAAAATACAAAATTTAGCTGGGCGTGGTGGCGCACGCCTGTAGTCCCAGCTACTCCGGAGGCTGAGGCAGAAGAATTGCTCGAACCTGGGAGGCGGAGTTTGCAGTGGGCCGAGATCACGCCATTGCACTCCAGCCTGGGCAACAAGGGTGAAACTCCCTCTCAAAAAAAAAAAATTAAAAATTAAAACGTTCAGCATTCATCTAGCATTGAGTTCTTATTTTTGCTTTTCATAAAATGTAACTGAGAATCCTTTTTATTTTCAATTATCTAATGTATTTAGCCTCAAAAGATGAAACATGCACAGGCACCTTTAATATGAATGGCAAGCAAATAACCAATTTCAATGGCTTGGTTTTACTAGAGGATCAGTTTCAACCATAACTTACAAAGCTGAAATGAAAACGGATCATTTTTCTCAAAATGTTTTTCAGGTTTAATAAAAAAAAATCTTTATTAGCTGTATCTTCCCTTGATGACAGGATTCAGAGGCAAGACTTAAGTTAGTCAACTCAGACTGCATCACAGACTGCAACCCAATGTTTGCTCAAGTTAATATCCTAAAAATGTTTAAACTGTGGGCGTTTTTAAAGCAGCAAAACTGCCTAATCTTTAAAAAACTGAGAACTGCCACAGCTCTTTTTCTGAACACGTGCCCCGGATACGCAACCAAGGAACTAATAAGGCTTTAGGCATCGTCTTGTTTTGGTATTACTTTTGTCTGCAGGCTTTCAGCATTAGGTCTCTCTCTCTAACCCACACCAGGGCCTAAAACAGGAGGCGGTTGCGCGTGAGCAGTATTTCTTTTTTTAACTCCAGCAAAAGCCCCGCAAAGGATAAAGGCTAAGAGTCCGATTGGCATCCTCCTTGCCCTTCCATCTCTCCTTTACGAAGACGGTTATAATTCTGGCGGGACCAGGGGTGGAATATTGTGGTTCCGGAGGGACACAGTGACTGCGTGGGTGCGTGAGAACACCGCAGGAGGGGGCAGCAAGACGTGACCACAAAGTAGGAGGGAAGGATGTTGCCTCTTCTAGGGCGGGAAGACTGCGAGAGGTGCTGTGTTATGCATGATCAAGGCTGGCACGCGGGGTGGACGGTGATGGCCGCAGAACAGGGTGAATGCGGGGGATTCCCTGTTACGGGGCAGCGTTCGTGACCACCTCCCGTGAACGATTCAGGAGCAACGAAAAGGGGGAGACACTGAACCCAAGAATTCCCGACCGAAAAAGAAAAAAGGGCGCCGAGAAACAGGGTTATTATGGGATGGCTGAGGGGGCTCCCTAGGAAAAATTACGGGATCTTCCTCACCCGCCAATTGCTGTACAGTCTCTTCACTCGCCGATAATAAGCGTCTTTGTCCAGAGTCACAGCCATAGCCCCGGACACCGCTTCTCCTCGGGTTCCGAGAATCACGCGAGGTCCCGGCTCCGCCACCCGCTCTCGGCCCAGGAATCCCGCACTCTCCCAGTGACCCGGAAGTATCGACCTCAAAGATGCCCTTTCCGCTTCCGGGTCCCGACAGCGTTAGGGTTTTTTTTTTTTTTTTTTTTTTAATCCTCTCTTGGATGGGTAGGGGGCGGAGACAAAGAAAAACGGGGGAAAATCAACAAAATGTGCAATGCAAAGAGTCGATTTTCGCGGGGTTTTGTCGACTTCCCCACTGTGGCACGCGAAGCGACATCGTCACGTGACGGTCTGCCTCCGCCCTTAACTCTCAACCCAACCGCGGTTTCCAGGACATCAGTTTTTGCCGAGGCGGCAGCCACTAGGCGAAGCGAAGAAGGCGGTGCCTGCGCAGCCCCACTAGAGCTGCTGCGGGCGGGCGTAATAGCTCCACCCCATCAGCAAAGGAAGGGGAGCGGAAAGAGCGGGATCTAGCGTGGGATAAAAGTGGAAATACTACAGTGTAACTGGGCATGCGCCCCTCCTGGAAACGATGGGGATGCGAAAGCCTTTAACTGCTCCAGGACCGGAGGAATCTTGGTGCCAGGATGCTGGGTCAAGCGGTCCACCGGGACAGAGATCTCATACCAGGGAAATGAAGCCAAGCCCCGCGATAAACTACGACCCAAGCTATGGGAAGGAACCTAGCTTTCGAAAGGAAAATTATATGCCCAGGCTTTATCTGAGCAGTGAGATGGTAGGAGAAGTCAGAGGAAACAAATGACTTGAGGAGCTTCACAAACCTTTAGTTCCTTCCCACAACCCCAATCCCTTGAGCACACGTCATGGCAGCATCCTTCCAGTCAGCCAGTTACCCTGCTGCAGTTCATGAAAAGTAACACTATTCTATGCCTTCCCCCAAAGAACCGTTACTTCAGTAAATTAGAAACAAAATGTACATGGTTCCTGATGAAATCCTTGCTTCCTGTTTCTTCTAAAAACTTGGGAGTTTGAATCCGGAAGTTTGTCCGCCTTTTACCTTAAATAATTCCCTTTCCTTTAGCCAGCTGGACAGTCTACATTTACATATATACCCTTTAGAGAAGTACAAATGACTTAATCTGCCCTATCCAAGGTAATATAGTACTAATAGTACTGAACTTCAGGAAAGTGGTGCTGCAATTACCCACCTCCCAAAATCAGTACTCGCATTGGGTTTGAGCAAATATAGAACAAAGGAAGAGTGGAAAAGGATTAACTTAAATTTATTAATGCCAAGGGGAAGGAAGGTAACAGTTCCTGACCCTCCAGCTGTATCCACAGTTCGGCCAGGAACAGGCTCTGCCAGAGGCTAGGGCCAGCGCTACATAGTCTGTGGTTAATGGAGGTGACTAGGGAGGGGTGAGCGCACCAGCTGCTCTGGTCTCCTTTCCTTCCCCAGAAATGAGGAAGTGGTCATGTATTATTTTAGGAGTTCCCCTGCCCACCCAATCCTCTCATAAGTGGGAGCAATCAGGTACATTTTTTTTTCCTTTTCACCTCCTGGAGTCCTGGACTTCCCCACATCTCCCCTGCCCCTCCCACGTTTCCATAGTCCAAGGGCCAGAGTAAATGAAAATACAGCAGCGGCCCAAGCAATGGGGTCCATGCTGGGGCTTCAGTCATCAGCATCTTCACTGGAGTCTGAGTTGGCTGGCATCATAGGATCATCAATGAGTGAGAAGTCCCTTTCTGAGCTATCATAGCCCTGAGATAAATCATCATCATCTTCTTCATCCTCATCGTCATCCTCCTCAGGTTGCAGTGATGGCAACCGCAAGGTAGTACCAGAGGCGGTAGTCGCTGGTGAAGAGGGGTAGCCAGGGGCTCTCAGGCCTGGATGGTGATGGTGGTGATGGTGAGGGTGGGGGTGGTGGTGGTGGTGATGAAGCATGGTGCTGGAGTCTACATGAGGGGATGATGCTGCACCACCCATCACAAATGGCATAAAAGGCAAAGATGCAGAAGTGGCACTGCTGTGACCCAAAGATGACACAGACTGTAGGCCACTACTGCTGTGTTGGAACGTGTTGTGCAGAGATAGAGACCCAGTGCTTCCACCCTGCATGAGGGCCATCATCTTAGAAAGGTCTGGTCGCATTCTACGGGCCCGCTTCTTGCTGCTCTCTGGTGCAATAGGCCCAGGCAAAACCCGGTTGAACACCGTTTCAGTGTGATGACCCTGGGAGGAGGGAATAGAAGATAATAAAAAGAAAGAAAGAGGAAAAAGGAAAAGAAACCAAAGCCAACAGAGTCCTAGCTTACAATGCTTTTTTACTGAATGCACCTAAGAACAGGCAAAACAAGTATAGCCATCCTAGGCTTGATTGGTGGTAATGGGAAGGAGGAAATGCTGGGTTTAGCTGGTTGAAACATTCTGATATTGAAGTTAAGATTAATGATTTGGTACTGAAACTCATATGAGCTAGTTTTTGCTTGAGTATATTGTTATCTTTACTTCAGTCAATCATTTTATAAATGCTTACCTTTGTTATGAAGGGGTCTGGGTAAGACAATGAATGAATTAGTAAATGCACATTTAAAAATTCACTTAAGTGTCTACTGATGTCAGGTTGTTCACTTGTTCTTATTATGTGAAGTGCAGCACAACTATATTGACATTTATAATAATATCCTCTATTATCACATCAAAGCGGGGTAAATTCAAGACAGGTCAGAAAAAGACTTCTGGATGTCTAGAGCACCAAAAAAAACACAACAAAAACTCCTCAACAAATTTAATAAAATAATTTTTGTTTCACATTGATAAAAAACATATATCTGAATTTTAAATGGCTTCTCTAGATGTTCTGATTTAAAAATTCTGATTACGTTCATTGAAGCTAGAAGTTATTCCTATGGGTCCCAGGAATAATGTAGGGCTATAGATTCACTATCGATTCTATATTAAGAATTCTGGACTGGGCGCAGTGGCTTATGCCTGTAATCCCAGCACTTTGGAAGGCTGAGGCAGGCGGATCACTTGAGGTCAGGAGTTCGAGACCAGCCTGACCAACATGGAGAAACCGTCTCTACTAAAGATACAAAAAATTAGCCAGGCATGGTGGCACATGCCTGTCATCCCAGCTACTCAAGAGGCTGAGACTGGAGAATTGCTTGAACCCAGGAGGCAGAGGTCACAGTGAGCTAAGATCATGCCATTGTACTCCAGCCTGGGCAAGAAGAGCGAAACTTCATCTCAAACAAAAAAATAGCTGGGTGTGATGGCGCAAGCCTGCAATCCTAGTTACTCAGGCAGCTGAGGCAGGAGAATCGCTTGAACCCAGGAGGCAGAGGCTGCAGTGAGCTGAGATCATGCCACTGCACTCCAGCCTTGGTGACAGTGGGAGATTCTATCTCAAAAAAAAAAAAAAATGAAAAAATGAAAAATAAAAAAATTATATGCTACTCATATTAGGATTTTTCTGTGATTTTCTGTTATTTCTCAAGAGTTTCAATTAGCCTTCTAGCCACCGGCCTTTCCCATATCAACCATTCTGTTTATTGCACTCCTGTTCTCCTTGAGGATAACGGGGAAAACAGAAACATTCTTCCATAGTAACACTTCCATCAATATAAAAATAAGCTCATAAAGCTACATGTATTATATGTTTCAAATTTGTTAAATGCATAATTTACTTTAAAATTAATTTTGTTATTTTGCAAATATGCATTGATTGGGAGAAAAAAATTAATTTTGTTAAAAGATATTCCATGTGGTTATATAGACACATAAATACATGTGTGTACATTGCCTTCCATATCCATGGATTCAACCATCTGTGGATTGAAAATATTTGAAAACAAAAAACTAAAAAATAACAATACAACAATAGAAAATAATACAAATTTTAAAACAATACAGTGTAATAACTATTTGCATAGCATTTATATTGCATTAGGTTGTTTTTTTTTTTTTTTTTTTTTTTTTTTTTTTTTTT